GATTGGCTCTCTCTAGAAGAAAGTCTCTGCCCGATTACTTAATAAAATGGTGTTTGACGAAAAAAAAAAAAGACTAAATTTCATACATGGATTCATTCATATTCACAAACATCAGATTTCAACATCAAATTTTGCACTTTCTCTTGACTGTTTGAAAAATGAAAAAAAAATTCACATATATAATTTGACGTATATTATGATTTTATAGAGTGTTCTTGATATTCGTAACGTAACTTACGAATTCATATAAATCATTCAAATTTTAAAATACATTTTTAATCTTTTATTTTACTTCTAATTAAAAACTCTTCAATATACCATAACTATTCTATTTTTATTTTTTTTTGATGGAATGTTTAATTGATTGATTAAAAAATATGGCAAATATGGCAAATACTATTCTAATTTCCAAATAGCATTCACAAATATTATTATTACACAGTCTCGTATTCGATTGGATTATTATTTTTTTATTTGTGATGTTTAGGATAGTTTTTGTTTTATTTCAAATCACCTTAAACTTTTTAATCTATGTTAAAATTTTATAAACACTGATTAATATTTAGTTTTTAGTTTTTTTAGGTATTCATTTGATTTTTTTTTAAAAACCCACCACTTTTTTAAATTAGAAAAGACTTGTAATATAGAAAGTTTTATTAATGTAATTATATTATAATTATAAATAATAATATGTACTTGACTTTTTTTTAATCAGTATCATGAATTGATACATCAACATTAAATTTTTTTTAACTATTTTTAAAATTTTAAATGTGTATTTTTCAGAAATGAATTACTTTTTACCTCTAAATTTAATATATTTTAAGTCTTATTTTTCTTTATTCTACTAAATAATTGTAACTCTTAAAAATGATTGATTTATCATTAAAATATATGATAAGTTTATTTTTCATATCTCGTCATTTCGGAATATTTACTCGTTATATGTTAAAATACAATTATCGAATTTTATGTTTATCTAATCTATATTCAAAAATTTCATATTTTGTGTTATAAATTTATTTTTTTCGTTTTTTAATATTTAATTTATTCTATTGTAAATTATTATTTTTGTTTAATGAAATATAATAATATAAATTACAAAATGTGTGAATTAATTATCGTTTTAGTGTTTTTAGATTTAATAAATAAAATATGTGGAGTCCACACAAAATCAAAATAGGATGATTTGGATGATGATGTGGACACCCTAGATGGAGAGATAACTCTCCCATTATATATATAGATTATTCACTTGCTCCGTTCAACGGTTTAGGATACAGTGATTGTAGTTATGTTTGTAGCGTTTATACAAGTATACTAATGTTAATATCGCTCTATATACGTGTTTACATATATACAAATGTTAATAACGCTTTATACATGTATTTACATGAATACAAATGTTAATAATGATTCATGTACATGTTTACGTGTATATAAATGTTAATAACGCTCTATACATGTATACATAGATCCAATAACTTAACACTATAATTATTTTTAGCGCTCTATACATGTGTTTACATGTATACATATACAAATATCAAAATCGTCTAATAATATTTGTAGCGTGCTAATATTTTCCCAGTTTTTTTTAAAAAAACAAGAATTAATGTTACTCGGTCTGTTATTAAATGTTTGTAGAGTAAAGGTCAGCTCATAGCAGAGCATTTATTAACGGTCACTTCATCCTTTTTGCCAAAAAAAGTCAAGACTGAGAATCCCACGCGCATGACTGCGTATACATCTGGTTTTTATGTAATTCTTCTTGAACTAAGGGTCCTTTGTAGAGTTGTTTTTTTGTTTGTTTCTGACAAAATAGACTTTTGTCAATTTCCTAATTAGAAGCTCCAATTTTGTCTCTGCGCCAATCGTCCCTAGATTTTATCGCGTAAGATTATCCCAATCAAAACCATGGAAAAAAAAAAAAAAGAATCAATCAATTTGCAATTTAGAAAACAAGAATCACGTGTCTCCTGAAAAAACACTAAAAGTCTAAAACTAAAAGTCGCATTATTGCTCGGTGCAAAGTGCCTTCGGAGGTGTCCCTCCCCTCTTCACTCGGAGATGGAAGCTTTAATTTGGGCTATGAAGAATATCCTTTCAAGAGGGATCGATTGTCAGGTGTTTGAATCAGACTACTCGGAGTTAGTCTCGATGATACACTCATCGGATGAATGGCCTGCTTTCTCCAATCTTCTAGACGAGTTTGGTTTTCTCCGTCTCTCTTTCCCTTTCTTCTCGCTTTCTCTTATTTCTCGTTTATGTAATGTTCAAGCAGACTGCTTAGCCCGTTCTTCTAGACTTTTATTTTCTGAAGTTACTTTTGTAAACTCTACTCCTTCTAATTGGGCAACCAATCAAGGAATTATTTATTAATTAATGTGTGGTTGACAAAAAAAAAAAAAAAAAGTCGCATTATTGATATACTTAAAAAAGTTGGTGCTGCCCAGGATCGAACTGGAGACCTTTTGCGTGTAAGGCAAACGTGATAACCACTACACCACAGCACCTTGATGACTCCTTAGTCCCATTTTACAATTATAGTTCACAATGAAGCATAACGAATAACCTCTTCTTGAACTTCGAGCGAGCATCGGAGAAAGCAGACAGATGTTGAGTTGTTCTTCATCGGCGTTCCAAAGAGTAGCCTTTATGCTAATGGCTCCCAAATTAAAACCTCAGCGACTCCATCAAAGTATGTATACACACACTCACTTCTACAAATATCTATTGATTTGTGTGGTTTTCTATAGTGTAATTTCGTAACGAGGGTTTTGGAATTTTGTTGTGTAGTTGCAGAGACTGGTGTTGAACAATTGGTTAAGAAAGCTAGAACGATGAGTACTGAATCCTCCATGAAAGATGCTTTCTCTACTTACGCTGATTATCTCAATAACTTCGTAAGTGTTTTTTCCTCTGCTCGATGTTTGTTTCTGGGTTTATCTTGTTAGAAAGATTGAACCTTTTCCTATAGGTAAGATTTGTAGGTTTAGACAACTAAAGAAATGATCTTTCAAATTGTAACTTGGGTTTTGTATTGTGTCTTTAATAAATCTGAACCTTGCCTATAGAATCTGTAGTGAATTTGAGTATAAAGGAGGATGCTTTATCTGTTTTTCTATGATTTTCTCTTTGTAGAATGAGAAGAGGGAAAGAGTGGTGAAGGCAAGTCGTGATATCACAATGAACAGCAAAAAAGTTATCTTTCAGGTTCACAGGTAGCATCAAAACCTCTGTTTGTGTTGTTTTTGTTCATCAAGATTTTGTGTGTTTGTTGTGTTCATCAAGGTTCTGTTTGTTTGTTTGTTTGGTTTACAATGTTTTTATGTGGCAGGCTCAGTAAAGACAACAAAGAGGAGGTTTTGGAGAAAGCAGGGAAGGATTTAGAAGCAGTAAGGGATCAACATTTTGCCCAGCTAATGAGAGAGCTTCAAGGGACTGATTTTTGGAAGCTGAGACGAGCTTATTCCCCAGGGGTCTGTGAGAGATAAATTATTGATCTTTTATATATTCTGTTTTGGAAGCATTTTGGCTAACGATTTTGACTGATAGTTGTGGTTTTTGGTAACTTACAGGTGCAGGAATATGTTGAAGCTGCAACGTTTTATAAGTTCTGTTTGTCGGGGACGCTATGTACTCTCGATGAGATTAACACAACGCTTGTACCGCTTAGTGACCCTTCATTAGAGCCGTTGCAAATCAATATCCTTGACTATATTCTTGGGGTATTTTAGACCATCTTTATTTATGGTTAATACTTACTGCCAAAGATTTTCGCTATTGTTTGGAGTTCTAAACTGTGTTTTACTTGCACAGCTTGCAGATTTGACTGGAGAGCTAATGCGAATGGCAATTGGTCGAATATCAGATGGTGAAATCGAATTCGCGCAGAGGATTTGCCAGTTTGTTCGACAGATTCATAGGGAACTAATGCTAGTTGTGCCAAAGATGGATGACAGTTACGACATGAAATCCAAGATGGAAGTGATGCTTCAAAGTGTGATCAAAATAGAGAACGGTATGCACAAATTTCATATCCGCACACTATTAGATACCAACCAATACGTTTTTGTAACTCTTTTTTTGTTTGTTTATTAGCTTGCTTTAGCGTTCACGTGAGAGGATCAGAGTATATTCCGCTGCTTGGAGATGATGCGCCAACATCGTACCTATTGGGAGCTGCTGTTGTCGAGTGATTAAAAGTGAGTGGTCTTTTCCGTCTCTCGGACACATTTCTAGGTTCTTGTTAAGGTTGTTGTGTTTGCGACAAGTAGTATCGTTTTAGTATGGACTTATCTTCAGAGAACTTTAGCCACTTCTTGCTTCTGAGGAACTTTAAATCTCTACGCTGCAAGACTTTTTAAAAATGAATGGTTAGAACAAGTTGTAGAACTAATCTGTTTTTGAATGCAAGCTTTTATTGATAGATTACATTAGGAGCTAAAGTTTACTGAATCTAGCAGTTACTTTATTATTCAAGTTAATAAGTTTTCTTCACTTTTTCTCGATCTTTCGTAATCCAGAAAGTACATTTTTTAAAATCTTGTTGTTTGTTTGTGCTTAATGAGGAAAGATATATAGATTCTTATCTTTTATGCAGCTACATATAATGCATCTTATTATAGTTCGACATTTGGTACTTTTGTATAGGATTTTGACATTTGTTGTAAATTTATATCTATCATTCATAGAAATAGTTTTGTTAGAAATCATAAATTATTCTTTTGGAAAGAAAATGATAAAAATAGAGAAAAATCAAGTAAAAAAGTCTCACATTGTAAGATGTTCATAATCTAGTTATATATAGAGTTATGTGCAAGCAACACTACAATCTATGTGATATGATTATTGGTTTTGGTGTTTTTCCTTTTTAAATTAGTTTTGATTGTTTTCCTTTTTATTTTTAAGATTTCATGGCCTATATAAAGGGTTAAGAGGAAGCTTGCTTTAAATCTCTTTGTTCTTAAGCTTAAGCTATTCTATAACAGAGGGTCCATTAACAAGAGCAAGAGCAAAAGCTTTGGCTCATATAATCACTATGACAAAATCCGAAACCACTCTTTCGAAGTTATTGGTAGAATCTGAATTTTGCCAAGAATGTAAGGAGTTGCTGTCTTCTCTTCCTAGAGACAGAAGCTTTTATGCAGAGTATCTCTATCAATACCAAGGATTTTGGTACCCACCAAATCTCTTAGAAGGTGTTCTATACAGCCAGAAGCATTTTCAGGCAAGAGATTCAGACATCATCCTTGTAAGCAGTCCTAAATCAGGTACAACTTGGTTGAAATCACTCGTCTTTGCTCTGATTCATAGACAGGAATTCCAAACCCCTCTAGAATCCCATCCTCTGCTCGATAACAACCCGCATACTCTCGTGACCTTTATCGAAGGTTTCCAGTTTCACACTCAAGATACTTCTCCTAGTATCTACTCTACACACATTCCTCTAGGGTCACTCCCAGAGTCTGTTAAGGACTCGTCCTGTAAAGTGGTGTATTGCTGCAGGAACCCAAAGGACGCGTTTGTCTCACTTTGGCATTTCGTGAAACGTTTGACTCTCAAGGAGATGGTTGGATGCACAATGGAGGAAATGGTGAGTGGGTTTTGCAAAGGGTCTAGCGTTTATGGACCCTTTTGGGATCATGCATTAGAGTACTGGAAAGAGAGCCGAGAAAACCCAAAAAAGGTTATGTTTGTTATGTATGAGGAGATGAGAGAGCAGCCTCAGAATTCGTTGATGCGGATCGCCGAGTTCTTGGGATGTTCTTTTACAGAGGAAGAGATAGAGAATGGAGTTCTGGAAGATATCGTGAAGCTGTGTAGTCTTGAGAATCTGAGTAAACTGGAGGTTAATGAGAAGGGTAAGTTATTGAATGGAATGGAGACTAAGGCATTTTTTAGGAAAGGAGAGATTGGTGGATGGAGAGATACTTTAACTCCTTCATTAGCAGAGGAAATTGATAAAACCACTGAGCAGAAACTAATTGGTTCTGATTTTAGATTCTTTTGCTAAGAATCTGCTTAATCAAACTTAGTCCACAATTTCTTGAGTTTTTTTTTTTTAAAGTTGGTTTAATATGCATTAATACAAGTAAGGTTGTTGACTTCTTGTGATGGACCAAACTGGTCTGTTGACAAATAAAACTATTATTATCTTTGATTTTTAGACATTAGAGTCGTGATTCTCCTTCTGTCTTGTCTTGTTTTGTTATCTTTTGATATTATTCTACGTGCTCTTCAAGTAAAGGATGTGTTGACCACTCCACCCAAAATAATATCTTAGAAGCAAAAGAGAAATTGGAAGTTTTTGTGCTATTTACTTGTAGAACAAACTTCTCATACATATATAAAAGCACACAAGCATTTACCCTCATAGATGCAATAAGAGCTTAAGCAAAAGATCTCACACTTTCAATATATTTCAAGGTTGATCTATAACTCTTTAACAATGTCATCATCATCAGTTCCTGATTACTTGAGAGATGAAGATGTGACACAAGAAACAAGAGATCTGATCTCTTCTCTTCCAAAAGAGAAAGGTTGGTTAGTGAGTGAAATGTATCAATACCAAGGACGTTGGCACACACAAGCTCTGTTACAAGGAATCTTGATCTGCCAAAAACGCTTTGAAGCTAAAGATTCCGACATTATCCTCGTGACTAATCCTAAATCAGGTACCACTTGGTTAAAAGCTCTTGTCTTTGCTCTCCTTAACCGACACAAGTTTCCAGTTTCTTCTTCTGGTAATCATCCTCTTCTGGTTACCAATCCGCATCTTCTTGTGCCCTTCTTGGAGGGAGTTTACTACGAGTCCCCAGATTTTGATTTCTCGGGGTTGCCTTCTCCAAGACTGATGAACACGCACATATCACATCTTTCGCTGCCCGAGTCTGTTAAGAGCTCGTCTTGTAAGATTGTGTATTGTTGTAGGAACCCTAAGGACATGTTTGTCTCCTTATGGCATTTTGGGAAGAAGCTAGCTCCTGAGGAAACCGCTGATTACCCTATCGAAAAAGCGGTTGAAGCGTTTTGTGAAGGGAAGTTTATAGGTGGACCTTTTTGGGATCATATATTGGAGTATTGGTATGCAAGCCGCGAGAATCCGAACAAGGTCTTGTTTGTTACTTACGAGGAGCTCAAGAAGCAAACCGGAGCTGAGATGAAGCGGATCGCTGAGTTCTTGGGATGTGGTTTTATTGAAGAAGAAGAAGTGAAAGAGATCGTGACGTTGTGTAGCTTTGAGAGTTTAAGTAAATTGGAAGTTAACAAGGAAGGGAAATTGCCAAATGGAATGGAGACTAAGACTTTCTTTAGAAAAGGAGAGATTGGTGGATGGGGAGATACTTTGAGTGAGTCCTTGGCAGAGGAAATTGATAGATCCATTGAAGAGAAGTTTCAAGGTTCTGGTCTAAAATTCTCTTCTTGAATCAATCTTTGAAACTTGTTCTCATGTTTTTGTTTTGCTTCAATTATGTTTTCTTCAATCTTGTGAGTTTTTTTTTTCTATGTTGTTGTTGTTGTATGAATAAGATCAATCATGTTTGTGTTTTCTTGAATTATTATTTTTTTATAAAAAAAATTTGTCGCACACTACCACTTTTAGATTTGAAGCACATGCACATTTCCTAGACATGACTATTCAAGATAAGATTTCTTATCTTAATATAAGAAAATATGTTTGGCTTAAGATCCACTCTTGTCTCTTGATAGAAACGCGTACAAAACCCCTAAACACTTGTCTATGAAATATAAACATACATGTAAACTTGTAACGTCGAATCGTTCAAAGCATCAAATAAAATAAAAACTCTTTATATTCACATTTTTCACTATCCTCTCTTAATCTGTGTTCAAAATTATTACAATGGAGGCTTCTGAAGAATCTCACCTTCCAAACTACATGAAAGACGACAACGTTAGTCAAGAAACCAAGAACTTGATCGCTTCTCTACCTTCAGACAAAGATTTCATGGGTTATGGTCTCTACAACTACAAAGGCTGTTGGTACTATCCAAACACACTCCAAGCCGTTCTTGACTTCCAAAAACACTTCAAGCCACGAGATACCGATATAATCCTCGCCTCTTTGCCCAAAGGTGGAACCACTTGGCTCAAATCTCTTGTTTTCGCCGTTGTACATAGAGAAAAATACCGCGAAAACCCCCAAACCCATCCTCTGCTTTCACAAAACCCTCATGACCTTGTCCCATTTCTTGAGATTGAGTTATACGCTAATAGCCAAATTCCGGATCTCACAAAGTTTCCTTCTCCTATGATCTTTTCTACACACACACACTTACAAGCATTGCGTGAAGCTACTACAAAAGCTTCTTCACCTTGCAAAATCGTGTATGTGTGTAGAGGTATCAAAGATACGTTTGTCTCCGGCTGGCATTATAGAAACATGTTGCATCGCACCAAGATGGATCAAGCCACTTTTGAGCTCATGTTTGATGCTTATTGTAGAGGAGTTCTCTTATATGGACCCTATTGGGAACATGTGTTGAGCTATTGGAAATGGAGCTTGGAAGATAAGGAGAATGTTCTTTTCATGAAGTATGAGGAGATAATCGAGGAGCCTCGTATTCAAGTCAAGAGACTCGCCGAGTTCTTGAAATGTCCATTCACCGCGGAAGAAGAAGAATGTGGATCGGTGGAGGAGATCTTGAAGTTGTGTAGTTTACGAAATTTAAGCAATTTGGAGGTTAATAAGAAGGGGACAACGAGAATTGGTCTAGATTCTCAGATATTTTTTAGGAAAGGTGAAGTCGGTGATTGGAAGAATCATCTTACGCCTCAAATGGCGAAAACCGTTGATGAGATTATTGAATGTAGACTGCGAGGTTCCGGTTTGATATTTCAATAAGGTTGTTATTACGGATAAGGATCTGAGAAAGTTTGTTAAAGTGATTTTCTCATATTCATAAAGAAGAAGAATTACATTGCTATTTATACAAGTATAAATCTGTACTAAACCGTATACTATTCACAATTAATTAAACCGGATAACCCAATCGGTATACTAATCCAATAGTCCCCCTCAAGATGTGCAGAAGATGTTCTGAATGCTCATCTTGGATTTTAAGTGTTCAAACTGATGCGGAAACAACGGTTTAGTAAGTATATCAGCCACTTGATCCTCAGTTCTGACATGAAGAGTCTTAAGAAGCCCCTGATCCAACCTTTCCCGAACCGTGTGACAATCTATTTTAATGTGTTTGGTCCTTTCATGGAAAACAGGGTTTGTTGAAATGTAAATGGCAGCCGTGCTATCGGAGAAGAGAACCGGAACTGCAGAAGAAGCAACTCTCAAGTCCTTAAGCAATGTGTGTAGCCATACCATTTCACAAGAAGCAAGAGCCAAAGCTCGATACTCTGATTCAGCAGAAGAGCGGGAAACAATGTGTTGCTTCTTGGAACGCCATGAAATCAAAGATGGACCAAGAAACATAGTAAAACCAGTAGTGGAACGTCTACTGTCAGGACATGTTCTCCAATCTGCATCAGCAAAACCAGTAAGATGAAGATCCTCTGTTGCAGAATAAAACAACCCTTGGCCAACAGTGCCTTTGATATACTGAAGCACACGATACACTACAGCAAGATGGGCAGTCCGAGGAGCATAGGAGAATTGACAAAGCTTGTTAACTGCAAATGTGATGTCTGGTCTTGTAATTGTCAAGTACATCAATTTACCAACAAGCCTTCTATACATTTTGTCTTCCAAAAGATCACCATCAGATTTAGAGAGTCTGACATTTGGTATCATAGGAACAGAAACTGGTTTGCAGCCAAGCATTCCTGTGGAGGCCAACAATTCTAAAGCATACTTTCTCTGACAAAGAGATATCCCTTCAGTATTGCGAGCAACCTCCAAACCCAAAAAATACTTCAATGGCCCCAAATCTCTGAGTTTAAAACATTCTTTCAAAGCATTGGTTAAAGAAGCTGCAGCTTCAGTACTAGTACTGGCTATGACAATGTCATCGACATAAACTAACACAGTAACAAACTCATCCCCAATACCTTTCACAAACAAAGTGTGATCACCATGAGCCTTAAGAAAACCAAATGAGACCAAAGAGGCAGAGAATTTCTTAAACCATTGCCGAGAGGCCTGTTTCAGACCATAAATAGATTTCTTGAGTCTACAAACGGCATTAGATGGTAAGGAGTCCCCCTGTCTTGCTGCATATCCCTCTGGTAGTTTCATAAAAATCTCTTCTTCCAATTCTCCATTGAGAAAAGCATTAGAGATGTCAAGTTGAGTTAAAAACCATTTCTTAGAAGCAGATACCTTTAAGAGAAGCTTCACAGTAGCCATTTTGGCTACAGGAGAAAAAGTATCCGTATAATCCAATCCCTCCTTTTGAGTATATCCCTTGGCAACTAGGCGAGCCTTATACCTTTCAAGACTTCCATCAGCATGAAATTTCAAAGTAAAGACCCATTTACAACCCACTGCCTTTTTCTTCGGAGGTAAAGAAGTGATTTCCCAAGTATTTGTAGATTCCATAGCACCAATCTCCTTATCAACTGCTTCACACCATTCCTTTGAATTCTGAGCCTCAGAGTAAGATTGAGGAATAGGAATTTTGGTAATGCTATTAACATAAGCAAGATGATCTGAAGAAATTTTGGAGTATGAAAGAGAAGAATATATGGGATGATCAGTGTTATTTTGTAGGGAATAATAGTGGTAATCCTGCAAGTGTGCAGGACTCTTTCTATTTCTAGAGGAAGAAATTTCTGGTGGTAGAAGAGGAATAGATGGAGAAATGGATGGATTGATATTACCTGAGGACTCAGAATTCAGTGGTGTAAAAAACTCCAAATGTGCTTCTGCTGTACTGTTCTTTGCCAGGGGAAATATCTCTTCATGAAATACAACATTGCGAGAAATAAAAATCCTGTTAGATTCTAAATCCAAGAGTTTATAACCTTTGAAGCCAGCCGGATAGCCCAAAAACACACAAGCTCTAGCACGCGGTTGGAACTTGTTCCTCTGTTGTGTTGATGTTGATCCATAACAAAGGCAACCAAATGTCTTGAGCTGACTATAATCCGGTTTCTAACCTGTTAAAACTTCATGAGGAGTCTTGTTTGAGAGGAGCTGTGATGGTGTACGATTAATGAGGAACACAGCAGTCAAAACACAATCC